TTTCTTCTACGTTCCCTTGTATTCTTATTTATACTTTAGGACATTGAGGACAATGTCGATTTTAAGTTTGGGGGTGAAAAAAACTTTGAGTTTTTACTTTTCGTATGTTTTTGAGTGATTGTGTGTTTGTTTTTCGTTATTACTTTAATATATAATAATAAAAAATTGAAAAATTTCAACAAATTTTTTTCTTATTTTAGGCTGTGTGCTTGTGTGAGTTCGATAATCTGGCCGACAATGATGATTAAATTATGAACTGTGGATATGATGCATGCTAGACTGATTGAGACTTAACCTTGCAAAACTTGATATTATACTTGCACTGGAATTAAGTTGGACATTGTGATGCTATGAGTTGATTCATGTAGTTGATAGGTTGATATAGTTGGACATCGATGCTTTACCCAAAACATACTAAATTACTTATCTTTAGACCAAATTTAGTATAGTTTGGGGGTGATTTTGATATTGTAGGAAGATACGAATGTGGGCAGGGATTCTATGTGTGAAAACTTTTGTGTGGATTGTTTTAGATTAACAAGATAAAATTTGGCGAAAATCTTAAGTTGGAGGCCGATTTACTTGAATAGGTGTTTGATAAAGGGCATTGCACTGATAAGAGATATACCTTTATACTTTATATGATTTCAATAGGTGTTCTAGCACTTGTTAATGCATTTATCATATTTGCATCTTTCATTGAGAGATAAAAAGGTCACATGAGGGGAATATATTTGATCGCTATCGAGAGGGGCTTTCGATTAAATTAGGAACATTGACTAACATGAAGGATTTCAAATTGTCACGTTAATTGTTACACTAAAAATGGAATAATAAGGGGATTTGACATTTTAACAATGCATCGCAGATATTTGAAAAACACATTTACTTATTTTCATTAGTTTAATTGATAGTGTATGGATTAGTATAAAAAAAAATCACAAAATATGTTTAATATTCGATTAAAGTTGCAATTAATTTAAATCGATCAAACACATAGTCCTCGTGGGTTTGACACTCTATTAATCATTATATTACTTGATCACGATCCCGCACACTTGCGAGTTTTCAAAGGATCAAGAATCATATATGTTGATATCACTTGTTAGGAATAGAAGAAAGAAGATTATATGACACAATATGAAGTATAAATTACAACACAAAAACAATTTACAGAAGAATGAAGATTTTATTAATGTGGAGAAAAAATATAAAATATTGTGTTTCTAACTTGATTCTAACTTATACAAAGTCATATGAAAGCCAAGAATCATGTGGATTATATAAAAGATCCAAAATAATATGTTATGGTTGGAAAGAGAATAAAAAATCAAGTCAAAAGAAGGAAACAAAATTTTCTTCGATATATACGCCGCTCGAGCGCAAGGCGAGCACTAAGATTCTGCTGATTATTTAATGATGCCGCTCGAGCGTCGAGGTTCGGTTGAAAATGATCATTTTTATTTTTCCTCGATAGATAATGACTCTCACAATTGGCAATAAAAATAGAGTTTTTACTACATCACACGAGCTGCCTTCAAAAGTCCCACCATCAAAGGTATCGTGCAAAATGTAAGTGTATTAACTATTTATTCTTTGTCATTGACGTTTTTTACATGTTTTGTTATTAATATAATTTCTCATTTTCTTCTTATATAAAAGAGAGAATGATTGAGGTTAAAGAGCAACTTGCTCTAGAGAGATCCGAGGCCCCCACTGTGTTTTAGGAAAATCTAGAAATTACATTAGAGTACTTACACATGGTCTAAAACTTGCCTCAAGCCACTTTATTAATAATTTGACATCTATTGATACCGAGTCAGCAGCCTTTCAAGAGAAAATATAGAAACAGGAGTAAGAATTAATGGATATACGTATCAAGTTGTCTCAATTTGAAACACTGATGCATAAGTTCGAATCGGGTCAATTTAGCACGTCTCCACAACAATTTGAACTAGCTATTGTGTTCAACATGCCATTGCCTGTTGATAATATACGAATTATAATTTGCTCATTTGTTTGCTTTAAGTGTCGAGACATATATTTTCCTTTTTGGATTGATCAAGTCTAGAGTTCAATTTTAAAGTTGCTATGTGATTGAAATCGTCTAATAATTCTTTTTGAATTTTTGTTGGAGATAATTTTTTATCACAACAATCTTTATTATTTGTCACGCATTTTGAAATATTACCACAACATTTTATTTCGCCTTATGTTTTTTAGGTACTTTCTTTTTTATCACAATGTTTGCAAAAAAGCTAAACAAAAAAGTCACTGACCGTTACAAAAAGAATTTAAGATAGCAAGCAAAGAACGCTGTGAAATATAATAAAAACAACAGACGAAGAACGTCAAAAAAACTTAACAATAACATACATTTGAGGACTTTTTCCAATGTGCATTACACGTTGCTAATGCACGTTACCATGTCCTTTTACATTACGACAATATTAGAGCCTGCAAGATATGGGTAAACGCTGTAAAAGGCATAAGTTAATGTTTTTTGTCCGTTGCAAAAAATAATTTTTTTTGTAGCTTCTTTTTCCTCCACCTAAAGAAATATGAACTACAATTGTCGCAAAAAGTAGACCCTATTCATCACAAATACTTAGTTGCAAAAAATAAAAATTTGTCGCCATAAGTTTTCAAACAAAAAAATTTTGACACCTTATTTTCCCCATTTTTTTCGACAATCTTTATTATTTCTCCCGCCTTCCTTATATTTTTTGGTACTTAAACCTAAAAAAAGTGTCGCGCTAAATCACTTATTATGACAATTTTTCATATATTGAAAAATAATCACATTTTTGTTGTAGTGTACTATCCAAAAATGAACACGTGTCCCAAAATAATGACTACATGCTCTATGTGATGAGTCATACTAGATAACTCAGTAGTGTGGTTTTGACTCGCAAAATGAAAGGCTCGACTCCAAAAACTGTCCATAATCTCAACTGCTACCTGATAAGAGCAATCATGAAAAAATATATGAGTTGATAACTCAATGAGTGAATAAATTCAAAAATAATTACACTTCCTCATTTATACATACTTATCAACACTCGAGTTACATCACTTAACTGATCACAGATTAACATAATAATAATAATAATAATAATAATAATAATAATAATAATAATAATAAAGATGTGAAACATTCTCGTAATACTGAAAAATATCGTCTCATAGTCATGATATAATCATCCAAGTAAACTCGAAATACTTTCATTAGAAAACTTTCATTTTCATTGGGCCCTTGACACATTTATTATGCACCGGATAGATCTTTGCGCAATATTAATATCAGTAATCAATAATTGAATGATCAATATAACATCGACACAGTTGAGTTGACCATTCTCCAATGACCACTAGAGGCACATTCTTTAAATGCCCCTATGTTCATCCAAAAAAGTATTCCGCCCACATTGCCAATAAATCACAATATCACAAAGGTGGTCTAGTGGTCAATCCTCCCGTGATCACCTAAGGTACATCATCTGTCTTTCGATCACCAGAGAAGTCTCACTTGCAGCCAACAAATATCATATAAGGATGCCTCGGTGCTATACTAGTGATCAATAAAACAATATATAATGAAAATGCATTCTTTTTCAATTATGTTGTGCAAGTTAGATTTTCAACAATGAATATAACCATGTATGTGAAGTCAATTCGGTTGGTAGGCTACCCCAATGTCTGTATCCCCGCCTGAAATATGATACATTGACTAAATTAACAACTAATCATATTAAGCTAAGTCAAAGTCAACAATTAATTTTAACTACATATTTTATAGGATCCACAATTTTTCAACAACACATTTCATCAACTTTTATCAAAATCTATTAAAAAATTGATTTTAATTTTTACTGAACATGAGCTTAAGTAACTTTAATAGTTAAATAGCGATACTAAAACTTAAATCTTTTCATATTTATGCAATTTCCCAACTTCCTTTAACAAAATGAAGTTAATTTTTCTTTCCTTTAACTTATTACGTAGCTTATTATACTTAATTCAATGGTCCCTTTTGATAAAATTGAATTTGAACTAATAATTCAATATTACTAAAATTTAACATAATTTTTCATTAACTTTTTACTTACCTCTCAAAATTGAAGAATTAAAGCTCAATACTATAAGCCACTTAGAGTATCTCCAAGAAACTCTTTAAACATTAGATACTCTATATTTTAAAGAGTTAACATTTGAAATTATACTCCAAAAGACTCTTTAAATTAACATTTTAATTTAGAGAGTGATTTTGGCTCTTCAAATTTGGAGAGTCAAACTCACTCTCCATAATTAAATGTATTCAAAGAGTTTCAATTTTTAATGTAGGAAAACAATAAAATAATTTAAAGAAAAATCAGTTAAAATAAAAGATAAAGAAAAATAATAAATATTTTTGAGAATAGTAAAATCAAGTGTTAAATATAAAGAGTTTGTTGGAGTATTTCAAAATTTTAACTCTAAATTTATAGATACTCTTTAAATGATAGAATATGCTCTTTAAAAATAGAGAGCCTCTTGAAAATGCTCTTATTACTCAATCGTGTCGTCGACCTTTCCCATTTCTCTTTTCTTTTCTTCTTCTTCTTCTTCCTCCTCTTCCTCTTTTCTTTTTTCCCCTTCCTTTTCTCTCTGTCCCGTTTTCTCTCTATCTCTGATATATGTTTTGTGTGAAATGGATTTGTATTCCGATTGATTAACTAATTTTTCAATTCCACCGCTTGGCTTTTTCATTTTCATTTTTATTTTTTCCCCCTAGATAGCATGACACACTTGATTCAACTTCTAGGTTTGACTCCATTAGTTAATTCAGATATTACATTAAAAGCCTTGGAACAAGCACACAAAAGGTTGGCCATGGTTCCATGGGATTTGAACCGAATTTGAATTTTCGACTATCTAGTAAGTGGAATTATCGAACTCAAATTTAATTATGGAATTCGATTCCGTACCATAATTAATTTTTTTAACATTTACAACAATACTGTTAGAAAACTTATAAGTGATTATCGATCCAAAACATCAATAATCAAACACTACCGAATTAACCATCCATTTTGAAATCAATGAGAACATCAAAATAAAAGCGGAAACATACCTTAGATCCATAAATTTTGATTCTTTGCATGATGGGGTTAGNTTTACAACAATACTACATTAATCCACTAATGATATATTCAATCACAACTCTTATAAAATAATGCAGTCCAATTTAAAAATATACAAATAACAAGTTGTATAATAACATGATTGCTGCCTCAGAGTTTTGAACAAAAAAAGTCAGTACAACCATCAGTGTTCGAAAACTACTACTTACAGCCAGCTGCTTTTCATTCGACTACCTAACCGTCGAAGCCATTAGTTCAGATTCAGTAAGAGAGAAGTCTTCAGCACCACAATGGTTAACTATGCATGCCAGGTCCTTCACCAGCTGTAGTAAGTTCATCCAAGAAAACAATCATTTAAGTAAAATGCAAAATTTTCACCAAGTGAGTTCGGCTGAAGAGGGATGTCATGTCACCTTATTTATCGAGGGTCGACTGTTGGGATCCCAGCTAAGGCATTTGTCTGCGACACGAACCATCCAATACAGCTGGAAAAGATCAACACTCTCCTGTACTACAGGGTCAATCAATTCCATGTACTTCTTCTGTCTCAGAGATGGTCTTGCCTGCCAAGAAATGAAATGAGATTACTCTATGATTTTGAATAATTTTCTTAAATTAAGAATGTAAAAGTCATTACCCATCTCAAGAAGCTTTGGCCATCTGTATCTTCAATTGTCTTTCGACCAGTGATCAGTTCAAGAAGAACAACCCCAAAGGAATATACATCTGCTTTGCTCAAGTCTAATCCAGTTCCTTCATATTCTGGTGGCAAGTAGTCAAAAGTCTTTAGCACCCGGCTTTCGGAAGATTGATATGTGTCTTCATATTGACTTCTAGAAAGCCCGAAATACGACAGCTGATCCGTTTGACAAAAAATGGGGCATAAGAGACATTGATTTTTCATGAAAAGCAATTTAATACGATCCAAAATCCGATTAACAAATTAAATTTACCCGTGGTTGGTAATCATGTGTAATGAGTATGTTGCTTGCCCTCACACTTCCATAAATCTGTTTTCCATGCAAATATTCCAAACCTTTAGCTGCCGCATGGGCTATGTTCATTCTTCTGTCCCATGTCAATTCCCTGCTTTTGTCTGCAAAAACAAGTACTAAATTAACGTATTCGTTCTTTAACTGTTTAAACTTTTATGAGGACCTGAGGTGGTTCGGCAGTGCCTTTACCTGATAGATGTTTGCTCAGAGATCCATTGCAGACAAATTCATAGATTAGCAACCTATGCCTTCCTTTTGAAAATGATCCTAAGAGCATGGCCACGTTTTCGTGTCTGAATTTCCCGAGGATCTGAACCTCTGTCTTAAAATCCTTCTCTTTAATGGTTTTTAAATAGTGTTCTCTTATCATAATTTGCTGTAGATCATTTAGTTGCCCTCTAAAGATTTTCTTTCCCGGAATAGCTAACAAGTTTTCCTCGGAAAATCCATTTGTTGCCAAATGCAACTCAGCATAAGTGAATTCTCTTGTTTGTCCTCCAATCCTTGGTCTTCTGTTCATGCACACTGAACAGGCAGAATTTTCAAATATCTCTTCTCCTTGTTTGCCTGCACATCTAAATGAGTGAACTTTTTGTTTTTCAATTCTCTGAAGCATATATGAAACTGTATATGGATTTTATTCACTTACAAGTTTCTGATTTGAAATGTCTGCCTGAGGACAATACACTAACTTCAGCAGCCTCGACTCCTCTCACGGTCTCCACACTACAATCTCTTTTCATCCTATATATTGCACAAGATAGGTTGTCCATGAAATATTTCTTATTTTTCTTGAGGTTCCTGTGGAAATCAAGTTGGAACAGACCAAGTATGAGTTGGAATTTAAACAAAAAGGTAGAAGCAGTTAGCAAGTAAATTGATCAAACTTTAGCTGGAATTAAAAATTTAAATTTCTTGATCATATTATTGGTGATGATTAATATGATAGATTGGTACACTTTCCTCTATACCATCTACAAAGGCTGATACTACGGGGTACCTTGGAAGGATCACGTGTGTAGCTCCATAGCTCTTGGCATATTCCACGGAGACCTCTTTTAGCGACCCTGCCTCAACTGCTACCTCGAATCCAACCTACATATACATTAATCAATGAAAACTTAGCCGGAGGCGTAAATCTCCGACCTGTGAATGGGGATATTTGATTAATACGTAATGGATGGAACACTACAGTTTCCTGTGTGCATGCTTGAAAAATTATATTCACTGATAACCTTTTGTGTTTCAGCCTGCCTCCAAATCCTTGCAATATGTGAACATCTTGAATATTCATCCATCATCTGTTGAACTTGCTGTTTGATGTCCTCCTTTTTCTTATTGATTGTTGCACTCGATTGTAACCTGCTTTTGAATCCTAGAGAAAACCAAGAACATATACGAAAACAGCATCAGTAAACAAAATCAAAGAAAAAATTACTGCAACTTTGCAACAACGATCACTTGCACACAAATGCATCAGAAGAGATATGAAATTGATGAGTCGTGATTATAATCATACGCCAATGACTTATTTGCGACAAATCCAATCCACAACGCAGAGGATAAGATCTGTGGGCGGTCCTGACTGCCGGTATAATTCCAAGAAGCTTGACTTTAGCACCAGGAGCAAGTGACAAGCTGCGCAGGACTTCTCTGATGGAAACTGCACATAGTTCTTTCAATGCATCTTGTATAATTAGCACCTTCTGATTATTTGTAGACATTGTTTACAGCTGGATCTTGAATTTCACCTTCAAAAACAAAAGATTCATGATTCAATGGAGACTTTGCACATGAAATCAAAAGAACTTTAAGAATAAGAATTCCGTCATATTCCATGCGTCTTTCTTCTAGATTTTCCAGTTGATTTAGCAACGAACCGAACATAGTGAGTAATCCACATAGCCAACTCTAATGTATCAGAAAAAGGGCTAAAAGAAATTCAACTTCTGGCAAAAAAAAAAAAAAACGATGTATGTCTGCATAAAAGCCTTGTTTCTATCAAACAGCAAAACCTTTCATTTTTTATTTTTGCCAAAAACAGCTACGAATGTGGGATCTTAGCAAGCAGAAAAGCTAATAATAAAAGAATTAGGCAGTCCAAAAACCTCTATAAAGTTTATTTTATATTCATAACCATAGATGAACACAAACTCAAGTTCCATTGAAAAAATTTCGGAGGGACGAAATGCACTCAAGAGAACTGAAAATTATTTGAAATTGAAGCTAAGAATGTACCTATCAATTTTGAAAGAGTTGAGTTTTGAATGTTGAGGCTCCCAAAAGCTTGTTAAGACATATATTACTTGAAGTTTTTTTTTTTTTTGTTGTTGATTTCTATGTTGTCCATCAATCTTGCCTAAATTTGTTTAAAATTTTGGAAGTTTGTAATATGGGACAAGCCCATATACTTTGGCTAGTGATTATAACCAAGAAAAAATTCCTCGACAAGTGAAGGCGATGATAAGTTGATATGGTTTCAACTGTAATTTCTATGACTCGGTGTTGTTTCTTTATGATTAGCTTCAAATTGAATTTTCTCTTGAATGCCAAGACAAACCCTCAAAAAATATTTTCTAGTAGAGACGATCATATTTTGTTGCTACCACAAGAATTTCACACCTCCACTTCTGGTTGTATATAGACGATTTTGTTTATTGTTGTTGCAGTTGTTTCAAGTCAAATTCTGTAAGAACTCCGCCTTCAAATTTTTGCCTTCAGCTTAAGGAACGTGACACGAACATATACACATGTTATGAGTTAGGACTAGGGTTGTAAATGGATCAGATCTGCCTATATTCGATCCGATCCGATAAGAAAATTATCCAATCCGATCCGATAATCCAACGGATATTTGATTATTAAATCCATATCTGATTTGCTACGTTATCGAATATCCGATCCAATAATTATTTGTTACATATTAATTATTAGTTTTTGAAATTGTAAAGTTAATTACAATAATAATTTTAATTAAGAAAAATATAGATATTTATTTACTTTAAATTATTAAACTAAAATTAGAAAAACATTGGTTGAAATCAATTTTTTTTT